ATATATATATATATATATATATATATATATATATATATATATATATATATATATATATATATATATATATATATATATATATATACGCAGAGAAATATATAAGAATATAGAGAAATGATATGGAGAAATATATAATAAATTTAAAACTTTTAATTCATACATTTAATTTATAAAGTCGTGGTCAAAATTAGACCTTGACCTGCTCAAACCATGATTTATCCTATCACATTTCTCAGAGAGCTTTCTTTCATAATTATTATGAAGCCCTGATCTGTTTCATAAATCTTAACTAACATTTGTCAGAGTCATCCTTCTCTATTAAAACCTGACCAATTGACAAATCCATCCTTTTGTGTCTCTTAGAGGTCAGTGCAAGCATAATTACCTGACTATTTATTAATAAATCAGCACTGATGAATGTGAAGATGCACACAGGTGTGTTTATTAAGTGGCTGTGTTTATTCAGTGCTGATTATCAGCTGACCTGGTGTGTGTTTTAGCTGTCGACTTTATTGCTGCATTAGTCATGGCCAGAGGCGCAGTTTCTGTGATGAAAGGGTGAGCAGGGCTGATTAGTTGGCACAGATTTACCCGCCCACCCACTGACTGTGTGTGTGCGTGTGTGTGTCACAAAGCTGGAGGGCACAATATATAAATATATAAATTCTATATCTTTTTGTTCAATTCAAGTCCAATTAAGGCTACGTTTACATGACACTGATATAGGCGAAAAAATGGAGTACCCAAAAGTTTTTTCCTTGCATTTTAAAATAGTGTTTAGGTAGCGTATTCAAAATGATCCATATTCACACACATCTGCAAAAAAATTATCAAAAATGCTGCATTTCCAATGCAATCTCGTGGAAGTTTGTAAATTTGTGATTTAACGGCTAAAATATATTACATTTGTACAAACTCCTTTGTACATTTTAGCCACAGTATTTTCTACATTTTGGAGTGATTTAAAAACATAGATTATCAAAGTAATTTCTGTATAAAAATAAATAAAGAAATTAATATTTTGTTATGCTGGCAACAGTATTTAAAAATATTAAAATAATAATAATAATAATAATAATAATAATAATAAAATGTGTAGTCACATGTATTTTCTAAAAAAAAGGATCAAAATATAAATATTTTGTTAATACGAGAGACAGTGTTTTTCTAAAAAAAAATTCTCCTAATAAAATAAACAAACAAATAAAAATAAATAAATAAATAAAACAAAATAAATAAATAAGTGAATAAATATTTTGTTGATGCTCGCCACAGTATTTAAAAAAAAAAAAAAGAACATTTCTCTAAATAAATAAATATTTTCTTTATGTGTAAACACAGTATTTTCTGAAAAGAAAGTCTTAAAAAAGATAAATAAATATTTTGTATTTGCCTGGCCACAGTATTTAAAAAAATATATAAAAAAATCAATAAATTTATGTTAAACAATTTATGTGCTAAAAATTCATATTAAAAATTAATAAATAACGAAATAATTAAAATGAAATATGTATCCTATTTTAAAAATAATTAAAAATAAATACATACACAAACAATTAAATAATTATTCCTTTGTGCCTTGCCACAGTATATTCTAAAACCAATTTCTCTTTATATATATATATATATATATATATATATATATATATTTGTACATTATACAGTATCAATCCTCTAAGTCTTCTGTAAAAATCCTTAACTCTTATGCATCAAATAAACAAACAAACAAACAAACAAACAAACACACCAATCAATAAATACATGAATAGATAAATAGGTACATACATACATACATCCATACATACATACATACTGTTCATACATATTTCTTTCTGTCTGGTTACAGTATTTTCTAAATTGTGGAGTGATAAAAAATAAACAGATTCTCAAGTAGCAGTCTCTAGGTAGTGCTGTCGCCTCTCAGCAAGAAGGTCGCTGGGTTGCTTGTTTGAACCTTGGGCTCAGTTGGCATTTCTGTGCTTTTGAGTTCGCATGTTCTCCCTGCGTTCAAGTGGGTTTCCTCCGGGTGCTCCGGTTTCCCCCACAGTCCATAGACATGTGGTACAGGTAAATTGGGTAGGCTAAATTGTCCGTAGTGTATGAGTGTATAAGAGTGTCAGGTCGGCCGGAATGTTTAAAAAAGTCGTTATCATATGGACAAGTCTAAAATGGCTTGTTCCAAAGAGTCGACCCCGCAACCTTCTTCTTCTTCTCTGACTAAGGCCAAAGAAGAAGAAGAAGATAAGATTTCAAACAATGTTCATCCAATTTTTGTGCTGGAAATATATGCAAATTAGCGGCAATTCAATGAAAGCAGGCCTTATTTGCATATTTAAACAAAACATTTTAGAAAACTTGTAATACAAAAAAAAGTTACTAATTCTCAATGTAATCATTCAGCAGTTACGGTGATAAATAGTAGTTAATTTTCCCCCAGTTTCCTGCTGTAGTGCGTTTCCTCTCTGACAGGTGTCTCTGCTGAACATTTGAGCACTGCTGGAGCGTGTTGCTGCTTTAGAGGACTTAATGAAATGACATCTGTTTCAGCAACAAAGGAACATTTATTTGTGCCGCAGGGGGATCGCGAGCATGAGTTCATTTGCCAACGCTTGAGGAATGAGCTAATCTTTTTTCTCGCTGCTTGTGTTTGTTTCAGTGTTACGGGATGATTTCCGGCAGAACCCTACAGATGTGGTGGTCGCTGCTGGAGAGCCGGCCATCCTGGAGTGTGTCCCTCCCAGAGGACACCCGGAGCCCACCATCTACTGGAAGAAAGACAAAGTCCGAATTGATGAGAAGGATGACAGGATCAAGGTGAGAACTCCAGAGACCAGGAAGATTTATTTTATTTTATTTTATTTTATTTTATTTTATTTTATTTTATTTTATTTTATTTTATTTTATTTTATTTTATTTTATTTTATTTTATTTTATTTTATTTTATTTATTTTATTTTATTTTATTTATTTTTTATTTATTTTTATTTATTTTTATAATTTTTTATTTCAGTTATTTATTTTTTTATTTGTAATCTTATTTTATATCTTTCTTTATTTTATTTTTATTATT